CTGCATCTGGGATGCTCCTGGGTCTGAGAAGAGTAAAAACCAATAGGCTTTTGGAAGAAATTGACAAGTAGATTTTAAAATTTACATAAAAAGAACTTAGATAGCTAAGATAATCTGTAAAAGAAGAATCAATTCAGAAGACCTAAACTATTTGATTTTTAAGACTTATTGTAAATTTATAGCAATCAAGATAGGCATAAAGATAGTCATAGGCCTGGCACAGTGACTCATGCCTGTAATCCCAGCACTTTGGGAGGCTGAGGCGGGTGGATCACTTGAGGTCAGGTGTTCAAGACCAGCCTGACCAGCATGGTAAAACCCCATCTCTACTAAATTCACAAAAATTAGCCGGGTCTGGTAGCAAGAACCTGTAATCCCAGCTATTTGGGAGTCTGAGGCATAAGAATCCCTTGAACCTGGGAGACAGAGGTTGTGAGATGGCACCACTGCACTCCAACCTGGGTGACAGAGCGAGATTCTATCTCAACAATACCACTACCAACAAAAGATAGTCATATAGAACAATAGAACAGAAGAGAGTCCAGAAATAGACCCAAATTACATATACGGTCAATCGAGTGCCAAGACAAGTCAATGGGGAAGGCATTGTCTTTTCAACAAATGGTACTGGAACAGTTGTACATTCATGTGCAAAAAAATGATGAACTAACACCCTTACCTAACATTAAACCAAAAATTAATTCCAAGTGGATCATAGACCTAAACAAAGAGCTAAAACTATAAAACTTCTGGAAGAAAACATGGGAGAAAATCTTTGTAAGACACATAAAGCATAAAATATAAATTAAAACTTGATAAAACAGACTTCATTTAGATGAAACGCTTTTAGATTTTAAGAAACACAGTTAAGAAAAGAAAGCAAGCCATTGACTGGGAGAAAAATTTTTTTGCAAAACATACATGGGACAAACGACTTGTACCTAGAATACACAAAGAACTCATAGCTCAAGAATGAGAAACAAAAGAACCCAATAAATATGCTCAGAATGGGCCAGGCACAGTGGCTCAGGCCTATAATCCCAGCACTCTGGGAGACTGAGGTGGGTGGATCACCTGAGGTCGGGAGTTTGAGACCAGCTTGGCCAACATGGTGAACCCCATCTCTACTAAAAATACAAAAATTAGTCAGGTGTGGTAGTACATGCCTGTAGTACCAACTACTCAGGAGGCTGAGGCATAAGAATTGCTTGAACCTGGTAGGCGGAAGTTGCATTGAGCGCAGATCGTGCCACTGCTCTCTAGCCTGGGTGATAGAGCAAGACTCCATCCCCATCCCCCAAGAAAAAGGAGGGGGCAGAAGATCTTTGTAACACAAGGACCAAATTTGTGAACAGACATCTTACAAATGAAGATATGTGTGAATGGGCAATAGCATATGAAAAGATTCAACATCACTAGTCATCAGAGCTTATTAAAAACTACCATGACTTGCCTACTAGAATGGCTCAAGTAAAAAATAGTGACAATTCCAAGTGTTGATGAAGATGTAAAACAATTGTAAGCCTCACTCATTGCTGGTTAAAATGCAAAATAGTGCAGTCACTTTGGAAAACAAGATATGGTAGTATCCTGCACTTCGTGACACACCCTTATGACCCAGAAGTTCCATTCCTAGGTAGTTGCCCAAGAGAAATAAATTCATGTTCACAGAGACAGGTACATAAATGTTTATAGCAGATAATTTGTAATAGACAAAAACTGGTGACTAGATAAACAAATTGTGATTTCTCTATGTGTAGTAGGTATGTAATAAGCAGCAACAAAAGATTAACATACTCAAAATCATGGATGAATTTAAAAAACATCATTATGCGAAGTGAAGTAAATCAAACAGAAGTCTATACTGAGTGATTCCATTTATACAAAATTCTAGAAAAAGGCAAAGTTGTCATAATGGAAAGCAGGTCAGTGATTTCCTGGAAGGGGATGGAGGTACAGAGGGGAGAGGAAAACATAGTAGGGGAACTGTTTTAAATCTTAACTGTGATTAATTGATCTTATACAGTTACCACAGTCATCAAACTGTACACTTAAACTAGATGCATTTTATTTTATATAAATAATAGCTTAATTTAAAAAAGAAAATAGATTTCTTATTATTGAAATGCTCAAGTGTGAAAATAAAACCAACAAAACAAAAACTTTTTTAAGAAAATCTTGCAACATAGGCATCAAGGAGTTTCTTAAGTAGGACAAGAAACTTAGACACTATAAAGGAAATAATAATGTCTTGTGTGGTGGCATGTGCTTGTGATCCCAATTACATGGGAGGATTGTTTAAGCCCATGAGTTTGAGGCTGCAGTGAGCTGTGATTGTGCCACTGCACTCCAGCCCCGGCAACAGAGTGAGCTTCCTATGTGTAAAAAAAAAAGAAAAAGAAAAAAAATAGTAATGACCTTTGTGTGGCTAAAGAAGCAATTAAAATTGTGGACAAATAGATCAAGAAAAAGTAGTGTCATGCAAATGACAGATAGGGGTAAGTTGTCTATATTATTCAAACTGCTTCTCCAAATTGACCTGAAAACCACAACATTGTTAAAAAAACTGGCTAACAAAAAGCCACAGCAGAGCACATTTAAATGGCCACAGATGTAGAAAAAGATGCTTAAATTCACTGGTAGCCAAGAGAGTGCAGATTTAAAGAGCAGTGAGATTCCAGCATTCATTGGAAAGAGCTACAACATTTATTCTCTTAGGGATATAAGAATATAATACTCTCATATTCCTGATGGAAATGTGCAATGTCACAGCCTTTGGCTAAAGTAATTTGGTGGCATGTATGATAAATAAAAACACATGTATCCTTTAACCTTATCAGGCCTCTCCTGAGAATGCCAATAGAAATAAAAGCAGATGATTGGGCATGGTGGCTCATGCCTATAATCCCACCACTTTGGGAGGTTGAGGAGGGTGGATCACGTGAGCCCAGAAGTTTGAGACCAGCATAGCAACATAGGGAGACTCCGTCTCTACAAAAAATACAAAAATTAGCCAGGCAGGGTGGCACATGCCTGTAGTCCCAGCTACTCGGGAGGCTGAGGTGGGAGATGGAGGTGGCAGTGAGCCATGATCGTGTCCACACTCCAGCTGGACCAAGAGTGCCAGACTCTGCCTTAAAAAAAATAAAGTGACGTAAAAGTAGATGTATTAATGCACTAAAATGTTTATTGCAGCATTGGGTTTTTTTTTTTTTTTTTTTGAGATGGAGTTTGGCTGTTATTACCCAGACTGGAGTGCAATGGCACGATCTCGGCTCACCGCAACCTCCGCCTCCTGGGTTCGAGCAATTCTCCTGCCTCAGCCTCCCTAGTAGCTGGGACTACAGGCGCACACCACCATGCCAAGCTAATTTTTGTATTTTTAGTAGAGTCGGGGTTTCACCTTGTTGACCAGGATGGTCTCGATCTCTTGACCTCGTGATCCACCCGCCTCGGCCTCCCAAAGTGCTGGGATTATAGGTGTGAGCCACCACGCCCGGCATTGGTTTTAATGCCACAAAGCTAGATCAAAGTGGATGCCCGCAGTGGGGGAATACTGGTTGAATAAATCATACCGCATCATGCATACTGCATTCTACTGGGCAATCAGTAAAATGAGTGAATTAGAGCTGTAAGACGGGTACCACTTACTGAATAAGAAATACGAGATACAGAGACTGGTGTAAAATAGTCTACTTTCTTTTCATAAAACAAAGACTAGGATCACACTTTACATACATACATTCCTGTGAATATTTGTATAGTATTATGAGCATAAAGGAAAAATTACATGTCAGATTTTAAAACTCTTCTACCAAGATGACCTATGTCGTGAGTGTTGATATATGTGTAGGTAAGGGTAGAGTCAAGCAGCTTACCGACCAACCAGCCAACCAACCAACCAACCAACCAACCAATCAAGTCTGCATTTGAAAGGTGTGTCTATGATCATATGTGTATATATCAGTCAGGGTAGGTTAGATTATTCTTAATCCAATATCACAATGCATTAATGTAACAAACATTTATTTCTTGCTCACATGAAGTCTCAGTGTCTGGAAGACTCTCCAGGCAATTTACTCAATGGTTTGGCTTCATCTTCCAGGCCATTTAGGTCTTATGGAGTCTTTCTATCCACACGTTTTTACATGGCTGCAGCAGGGGAAGAGAGAACATAAAGAATTATGTGCCAGCAATTAAAGGTTTTCATCTGGAATTGATGCATGTTAACTTGTTCTGCCTGCCCCCAAACCCCCAAATCAAAGCACATGGTCGTAGATAAGCTCAAGGAGTCAGGGAAATCTGTTCCTCTTGTGCTCCTTTGGAAGGGAACAAAAAAACGGAAATACTTGTGAGTAGCAATAATATATACACTATATGCTATATCCTATCTACATAGTGCATATTTCTATATAAAATTATATAAGTCTAAGCTTTAAAATGATTTTGAAATGGTTTATACTTGATAAGTAAGCAACTTACCAAATATAAGAAATGAACAATAAAAATGAAACTACGTATATGTCAGCAGATTGGCTAAAATTGTAAAGAGTGGTAAACTCCAGTGATGATGAAGATGTGACAGAAACTATTATATGCTCCTGGTGTAAGAATAAATCTATACATTTCTGAAATACAATAAGGCTGAAGATATCAAGATGTAATATTTGACGTCTCATTTGGCCCAGTAATATGACTTAGAAGATTTATCCTTGAAAACAATCAGATGCATACAGATAAATGTAAAGAAATATTTGCTATGGCATAATAAACATGGAAAATAGTCTAAAAGTACATCTATTGAGGCTGAGTTAACATGGGGTAAATGCATATGATAGACTATTCTGAGAGCTACTAAAATAGGTGAGATGCATTTAATTTGTTTTAAAATTTAAAAATGCTCAAACCGTGTGTTTTGGTTATTTAAATGTTAATGGTACAAACAATGCCAGAACTTAAAGGCTTAAAGTAACTCTTTTATTCTGGTTCTGGTTTAATAGCTCAGCACTCAAGAGGGGTTTGGTTGGATGGTTTGTGTTACGTCAGCGTTGTCAGCTGGGACAGAAGGATCTGTTTCCATGATGGCTTCTTCACTTACAAGCCTTACAGGTTGTGTGTTGATATGTATGGAGGTAAGAATGGAATCAAGGAACAAACCAAACAAATAACAAACAAACCTGCATCTGAAAAGCGTGTCTAGTGCTTTGGTGCATTTTGACTTCTTTACTTCTCAACAAGTTATCTCATCTTCAAGTTCTTCTTAGCATCGTGGTTTCAGGGTAGTCCTACCTCTTAACATGTCTACCTTCCAAAAGCAGGAAGTAGAAGTTGCCAGGCCAGTGAAAGGCTATATACAGAATTAGTATAACATTATATTAGCTCTATTCTATTGATTGAAGTAATCCAAAATCCTGCTGAGATTCAGGGAGATGGTGAAATAACATTTCTTGATGGGAGAGTGGCAAGAAACTTGCAGAAAAGCATGCAGGATGAGGGATATTGTTGTGACCATCTTTGGAAAATTGTCTGCCGCAGAATCATATGATTCAATTTGTGTAAATATTCATTTTTTTCGATTTAAACATTTAGAAAAATGTAGAATTAAAACAATGTTTCTGTGGGGCATAGCAATTTTGGATAGAATTTTGGGTAGCTACTTTCTATTTCAAATTCTTCAGTGTTTGATTTTCTTCACAGTAAACATGAATTACTATTGTAATCAGCAAAATTTTTTTAAATCTCAATTTTGATGTTAAAAAGAAACAGGTTGTTTAAAATTGCCTTCTTACAGAGTGTGCAGTGCCTGAAGCATGCATTTAAAAGGATGACTTTTTTTCCTGTGGAAAAGTTGAGGAGGGACCTTTACATTTAAGTTTCCACATTTACAGATGGAGTAGGAGTGATAGCTTCTTAGAAAAATTGAATTTGAATAATGGATTTAAATAATAGAGGCCATTATTCAGGATGAGCTTAATGTAGTCCCCATCCAGATGAAAGATTAAGGCAATGAGCAGATAAAAGCCTTACAGATGCCTTATGCAAATTATGTCGTATTTAAAACTAAAACAAAAAATTAAAAATAAAGCAGACCAAAGATTTCAAGAAGGAAGGATCTAGGGGTTATATGTGGTTTTCAGCCATCAGAAAAAAAATGACCTAATTCTTTAGTGGACATCTGTCTGATTCCAAGTCTATTTTCAGCAGTATCATTCCTGTGAGTTATCAGGATAACAATAAATGTATACACTTGAAAATTTTTCATTGCTTTCACCATCTTCTCAAACATACCCAGAAGTCATAATGCTGGAATTACACTGATACAATCATCCCCATGGAAACAGAGGCTGGTGTCATAAATATGGCATTATGACTTCTCAGCAGGAGGAGGCACTGAATGTGTAAGATTTATTCAAAAACACAAATGTCTTGGAGAATAACACTAAGGCAAAATAAATAAATAAATCCATGAAAGGTCATGGAGGTGCCCCGACTACATGCATTTCAAGAGATGTTTTCTGAGGATTTGCTCGCCTTTGGCAGGACTTGCTTGTGCCTATACTTTCTTTTTCATTGTTCTGTTGGCATGGCATGTTCTCATCTTAGTCTTGGCTGTTCAGGCTGTCAGGGGCTGCATTTACCAATGGGGAAGTTGAGATCCAGACAAGGGAATGCACTTGCCCAACTCACCTAGCAAGTAAGTGGCCCCGAGGAAGCCAGAGCCCTTCTCCCGACACCTAATCCATGCATTTGAGTGTCCCTGTCACATGTCTGTTTTATGTCCGTTTATGCTGAGAACACGTGTGCATCAATTAGGACATTGGTTTGATTGTTCTAATGAGACCCCCCTCCACTGTGAGAAGTGTTTTAAATAAGATAGAAGTTTTCCTCTCATAGCAGTCCATGGTGTCAGGCTGTGTGTATGTCTGTGTGTGTGTGTCTGTGTGTGTGTATATATATATATATATATACAGACATATTAGTATATGTGTATAATATATATACATATTAGTGTCTCTTCTGTGCCACCCTCATGCACTAGTATAACACATCACATACCATATTTATTTTCCAGACAGAGTAAGGAGAGGGTGTTCTCTCATCTTTTAAGAGCACAATTGGAAAGCTGCACAAATCACTTCTGCTTACATTCCATTGGCCAGGACTTAGTCGTATACCTTGTTTCAAGAAATGCTGAATAGCCATGTGTTCTGCAGAAGTGGGGGATCTATTATTACAGGAGAAGGGGAAAACAGATTTGGCAACAACCAGTAATCTCTGCCACACTTGCGTCTCCTGTGACAGAGCATTGTTTTCAGTGGACTGTAAACTAATTTCCTCTCAGCTAGTGCAATGGCTGAAGACTGATGATTGTGATATTCATTTACCCAAGGGTAGTTACATTTCTCATTATCATATTGGTTATAGAAATCACTGAATTGGCACAAAGATTGGACACCAGGCCTAAGATCAAGATAGATGTTAATTGATCATTAGAGTATGTATTAGGATTGTGAGAGAAACCCTCCAAGTTAGTGGCTGTAAGAACAAATAAGTCTATTTCTTTTTCTCCTAATTGTCTGAGATGTATTGTTCAATGCTGATGAAGATTTGCTTATTACAGGAGATGGGAGCATGGATATTAGTGGGCAGCTAGTGGTTTTCTCTGCAGTGTAGCCAGCTAGAATGACTGAGCTCTGACCATTTCTTTCATCCCAGCATCTTTGACTAAAAGATGAGAGAGAGACAGAGAGAGAGGGAGAGAAAGAGAGAGAGAGAGAAAGAGGTTTTCTGATCAGTTAGGCTTAGACCACGTACGCACTCCTTAGTAGCTGCTGGGGAGGTAAGAAAAGGATCGTGGAACCTCTTTTTACATCTGGATTTACATTCCCACTAAGACTATTCCCAGTACAATACTGGCCAGGAGTTTCTCTCACAGACCTTCTGGTTCCAGAAATATTTCCTCTTGTTCTTGTTATTGTAGCAGCACCCCTATTTCCTCTTGAAAGTTACAACCAATTATGTCACCAATGCAATAATTTTTTGGTTGTTTATCCAGCAGCATGAAGAGGTCAAAATGATCAGCTGGAATTTTCTACTTTCAGCTTAATGGAAGTGTTGCTGCAACCCCTGCTAGAAGTCTTTTCCTCTTGAATTCTAAAACCTCTAAATTAACAAAGTCCAAAGTTACAGAGATGGGAAGAAAATTTTCTGAGTCCACACTTTGACAAATGGATCATAGTGTACTCTAGAGTTTCCCAGAAGTACTTACTCACAGCTAGAGTCTAATTATTTCTGAATGGTTCTGGTATTTTCATTTTCTTAATCATCAGTTACTCTGGTCTCTAGTCCTCTTGGCTATGGCAAGGAAGAAGATTCTCAGTATACATTTGTGTTATCTTACTGTTCTTACTCAATGTTTACCTGATTTTCCCTTTATTCCAGGGGCTCTAAGTCTATGAATTGGCTCAGGCCTTGGAATTGAATAAGGGACTGTGATTTTTTTAATAGTGACTCAAATGAGTCCTATTCGCCAGACCCGCAGCATGATCAATGACACAGAGCAGGTAGGACCATAGAGTTGCTTATTGTTTTGATCTTAGAGAGTCCAGTGATTAAATAACTTTCATCAAATGTTATTTCACATATTCTAATTACTACTTGGGCTCTGCTGCCAATTACAGAAACTGTGCCCAGCTTGCTTCAGGTGCTGCCGCTTGTCTTCTGTGACTCCTGGATGGCATGATTCTAACTGAAAAAGGAAGATCTGATTTTATAAGTGGCCTTTATCTTTATCCCCTGCCCGCAAAGGATAAATTCTAAGTCTCTTTTCAAAAATAAATGTATTCTGAAATAACATCATTTGAAGCAACAAAGATGGAACTGAAGGCCATTATCTTAAGTGAAACAACTCAGATACACAAATACCACATGTTCTCACTCCTGAGTTGGGGCTAAATAACATGTACACATAGAATCTGGGTGTGGAATGATGAGCAGTGGGGACTCGGAAGGATGGGAGTGAGTGGAAGGCAGGTAATGATGGAGTTGCTTAGTGGATACAATGTGTATTGCCCCAGTGATGGATGCACTGAAAGCATTGACCTCATCACAATACAATATATGAATGTAACAAAATGGTGCTGGTACCTCATGAATATACACAAATTTAACAAGAAAATCAATGCAATTCATTATATTAACAAAATAGAAGTGAAAAATATCTCAATAGATACATAAAAATATTATAATGTCAGAAATAAAAAGCTCATTAAATATTTGAAATTCAAACAGTGTAATTCACCTTGTTAACATCTTATTAACAAAAAAGAAAACATGACATGATCATTTCAATAAATGTATAGAAAACATTTGACAAAATCTAACATCTAGTTATAGTAAAAATAATAACAAACCTCTCAACAAACTTGCAATAAAAGGAACCTAACCTAATAAAGAACAGCTACAAAAAACCCCCACATACAACTAATAACATATTTAATGGTGAAAAACTGAGTACTTTCTCCACACAATACAGTACAAAGCAAGAATGTCCATTCTCACCACTTCAGTTGAACATTTTGTTAGAGGTTCTAAGCCAGCACAAGAAGAAAGAAAAATAAATAAAAGATTGAAAAGGAATAAGTAAACTGTCTTTATTGGCAGATGATAAAATCAACTATGCAGATAATCCTAAACATCTACAAAAAACTATTAGAATAAATAAATGAGTTAGCAAACTTGCACAGTTTAAGATCAATATGAAAAAAACCTTTATTTTTATATGCTTACAATAAACTATCACAATTTAAATACATTTCATTTATTTATTTATTTTAAGATGGAGTTCTGCTCTGTTGCCCAGGCTGGAGTGTAGTGGCATGATGTCGGCTCACTACAACCTCTGCCTCCTGGGTTCCAGTGATTCTCTTTAGTAGCTGGGACTGCAGGTGTATGCCACCATGCCCAGCTTAGTTTTTGTATTTTTAGTAAAGACAAGGTTTCACCACATTGGCCCGTCTGGTCTTGAACTCCTGAACTCTTGATCCGCCATGCCCAGCTCATGTTTTGTATTTTTAATAGAGATGAGCTTTAACCATATTGCCCAGGCTGGTCTCGAACCCCTAACCTCATGATCCACCCTCTTTGGCCTCCCAAAGTGCTGGGATTACAGGCGTGATCCACCGCTCCTATCCCACAATTTAAAATTAAAAACAAATACCAGCCAGGCACAGTGGCTTATGGTTGTAATCCTAGCATTTTGGGAGGCCGAGGTGGGTGGATCACTTGAGGTTAGGAGTTTGAGGCCAGCCTGGCCAACATGGTGAAATCCTGTCTCTACAAAAAATACAAAAATTAGCTGGTCATGGTGGTGCATGCGTGTAAACCCAGCTACTCAGGTGGCTGAAGCAGGAGAATTGCTTGAAACCGGGAGGCGGAGGTTGCAGTGAGCTGAGATCATGGCACTGCACTCCAGCCTAGGTGACAGCAAGACTCCATCTCAAAAAAAAAAAAAAAAAAGATACCACCACTTACCCTAACCTCAAAGAATATGAAAACACTTAAGAACAAAACTGACAAAGGATATTAAGACCTGTGCTCTGAAAACTACAAAACATTGTCAACAGAATGAAATGGGGTTTACACCCATGCACTGGAAGACTCAATATTATTCAAACATTATTTCTTCCCAAATTGATGTTAATACTCAATGCAATAAAAAGCTGCAGGCATTTTTTTGTAGAAATTGACAAACTGATTTTAAATTTATGTTAAAATACAAAGGACCTAAAATGACCAAAATTATTTTGGAGAAAAAGAACCAAATGAGAAGCCGTTCCTACCTATTTCTAAATCTATCATTATAAAGCTGCAAGAATAAAATAATGTGACACTTGTCTAAAGACACATGTATGGAATAGTGGAACAGAATAGAGTCCAGAAATAGACCCACATACATATGGCCATTTAAGTTTTGACAAATGATGCTTGAAGAATAGAATATCTTCATGGGTGAGGAAGACCCTTGATCCTCACTTCATGGCATTTTTAAAACACAATAAAGATCACAGATCTACATGTAAAACCTACATTGTTAAAACCTTGAAAACATTGACACAAATTTTAGTTACTTTGTATTTGGGAAGATTTCTTAAATATGATACAAAAATCACACAAAATTATATATTGTACTTCATTACAAACACATTCATTTACTTTTCAAAAGACACTCTTAAAAAAAGACTTACCACAGACTGAAATAAAAAAATTATAATAAAGACATTAAAAAAGAACTCATAGTCATCCCAGCACTTTGGGAGGCCGAGGCGGGTGGATCACAAGGTCAAGAGATCGAGACCATCCTGGTCAACATGGTGAAACCCCGTCTCTACTAAAAATACAAAAAATCAGCTGGGCATGGTGGAGCGTGCCTGTAATCCCAGCTACTCGGGAGGCGGAGGCAGGAGAATTGCTTGAACCCAGGAGGCGGAAGTTGCAGCCAGCCGAGATTGCGCCATTGCACTCCAGCTTGGGTAACAAGAGTGAAACTCTGTCTCAAAAAAAAAATAAATAAATAACTCATAGTCATAAAAGTAATAAAACATCTAGTTAAATATAACTGATTATTAGATTTTTGTCAAAAACTTTTTATACGTACAACTCAATAAGACTAACTCAATTTTTTAAAATGGGCAAAAATGGTTCTTCTAAATCTGGGAAGATGGAGTAGGTGTACTTTTCTTTGTTCCTCTTTCTTAATGCAATTAAAAGCACTGGACATTATATATAAAATAAGTGCAAGAAGACAAAGAAACATGAACAGAAGCAGGCAGGCCTTCTAGGGAACTCTGGGCTGGAGGAACAATATGACGCGATGAGCACTCTGGGCTTTCTTTTGGCCTGATATATCCTAGACTTGGAGCTGAAGAAGCTGACAGCCTATAAATAATAAGTGCAAACAAACAAACAGAAGCCTCAATAAAGGTCTAGGAAAGGGGTGGCCTATGAAGATAGAAAATATTTAGACGACCAGGCAAAGAATTTATCTCAGTCCTCAAAAGCAAATGCAACAAAAACAAACATTGAAAATTGGGACCTGATTAAACTAAAAAGCTTCTGCACAGCAAAAGAAGCTATCAATAGAATAAATAGACACCCTACGAAATTGGAGAAAATATTTGCACACTATGCATCTGACAAGGGACCAATCCAGAATCTTAGAAGGAATTTAAATAAATTGACAAGAAAAAACAAAAAAACCCATTAAAAAGTGGGCAAAGGACATGAACAAAAACTTCTCAAAAGATGTACAAGTGACCAACAAACATATAAAAAACTGCTCAATAGCACTAATCATCAGAGAAATGCAAATCAAAACTACAATGAGATACCATCTCACACAGTCAGAATGGCTATTATTAAAAAGTCAAAAAAGAACAGATGTTGGCAAAATTGTAGAGAAAAGGGAATACTCATACATTTTTTGGTAGGATTCTAAATTAGTTCAGCTCCTGTGGAAAGCAATTTGGATATTTCTCAAAAAACTAAATATAGAATTACCATTAGACTCTGCAAACTCACTACTGGGTATATACCCAAAAGAAAATAAATTGTTCTATCAAAAAGACACCTGCACTTGTATGTTCATCACAGCACTATTCACAATAGCAAAGACATGGAATCAACTTAGATGCCCCAAAACATGTGGTATTTTGTTTTTTGTTTGTGCTAATTCACTTAAGATAATGGCCTCTAGCTATATCCTTGTTGCTGCAAAGGACATGATTTCATTCTTTTTTATGGCTGCATAGTATTCCATGGTGTACGTGTACCACATTTTTAAAATCCAAGATTGAATAAAGAAACAAAAACCAAGGCCAGTCACAGTGGCTCATGCCTGTAATCCCAGCAATTTGGGAGGCTGAGGTGTGCGGATCACCTGAGCTTGGGAGTTCAAGACCAGTCTGACCAACATGGAGAAACCCTTTCTCTACTAAAAATACAAAAAATTAGCTGGGCATGGTGGTGCATACCTGTAATCCCAACTACTTGGGAGACTGAGGCAGGAGAATCGCTTGAACCCAGGAGGCAGAGGTTGCAGTGAGCCAAGATTGCGCCATTGCACTCTAGCCTGGGCAACAAGAGCAAAACTCTGCTTCAAAAAAAAAAGAAACAGAAACCAAAACATAGAAACAAAAAAACAACTATCATGTGTTTTCACTTATAAGTAGGAGGTAAACATTGGGTGCACACAAACATAAAGATGGGAACAATAGACACTGGAGACTCCAAAAGAGGGAAGAAGTAACACAAGGGTTGAAAAACTGCCTACTTGCTACTGTGGCCACTATTTGAGTAATGGGTTTACTCGAAGCCCAAACCTTAGCACTATGCGATATAGCTGCATAACAAACCCACACTTGAATCTAAAAAGAAAAATAAACTTAAAACACTTAATTGGTTTATTAAAAAATATTTAGGCAATGATCTCTTCACTTCAGCCAAACACCATGAAAAAAATCTGTGGTCCCTGTTCTTTCCCATACTACCCCTCCCTGCCACCATGCCATCAGGGACCGAATGGAAACTTAGATTTTCACCCTTGTGTGGCTGTAGAAAGAAACCTAATACCACCCCAAAAAGGTGGTAGCAGAGAAAGTCAAGCAGGGAGCTG